TCTCCACAACCACCACAGAGTTCAGACATGCCAAGATCAGGGCTTTACTCCGGATTAAGGCTGAGCTGGTTGGGAGTGTGGAGCTCAGCCAGGCAGGGGCTACTCCTGTGTGAGCCTGTGACTGTCTCTACCCAATGGAGCAGCTCTGAGAAGTAAAGTCAGAGCAGTGACAACGTCATTTCACCCTGAACCAGCCCAAGTTTTATCTCTGCTGTGAAATTTCCCCTTCCCCTTCCCTTCCTGCAGCCCAGCTCCTTTTCCCTCRCCAGCACACARCAGCATTGGAGTGGARCAGCTTCCCAAAGCTTTTTGCAGGATTGTTCCCCTGCACCATTTCAAATCTGTGACAGGGACGGGGTCCTGTGTTTATGGGGACGCTGCCAAGATTGATTTGCAACTCCCAGGGCCAGCACGTTCAGGTTTGAACTTCAACCCAAGGCACAGCGAGCRAGTAACTCCCACAGAATGTTTAACTGGAGGAGGTGAAATGTTTCCTAGGAGAAATCCCTTGGGAAGCRTTTGCACTGATCCTATTGGAGGAGCCTCTGTGAGTTCCAATCTCTCCCTGGAGAAATGCTAATGAAGGGAGTGGGAGAAGTTACCTCCCTTGGCTTTGGAAACAGAGCACCAGGCCCCAAACAGAAAAAGGAAAGGTTTTTAAAGGTCATTTATTGATTTATCCAACAAATGAGGCCCCCCAGATACAGCTGAYAGGATCTGCTCTTTACAGGGGCTCGGGGAGTGACCACGGTTCATCCTCAGCAGCACAAGTGCTAAAATGAGAGCTGGAGACCCAGGGAGCTGCCAAGAGGGGAGGGAGAGGCTTCATGGCAGGTGTGGAGCTCCAAAGGGAGCCGGAGCACAGGGGAGGGCAGCTGTGCAGGGAGGAGGAGCTGAGAGCAGAGCTGGGAACTGCTGGCCCAGCCTCAGGACAGCAGCTTGTGCACTGCCACGGTGATGCTGTCGTGCTTCTGGATCATGATGTTCCTGGAACAAGGAAAAAGGGCTGAGGGAGGGAAGCTGAGGCAGGAGGAGCTGGCAGGGGAATCACTGAGCAGTGCAGCCCCCAGCTCCATCCCAGACCACAGCTCCACMTGTGTTGTGGATGAGTAAAACCYTACAAAACCTTGTTACMMCTGTAAAACCCCTGCTCTTTTCTGTTACTTTGGCTCACTAGAGAAGGATTATGGGAATGATCGAGCTAAACCAGAGGTGAAAACCAAAATACATAACCCTGGGAAACTAGAGTGGGTATTTCTACCTGTGAGA